GGGCAGCAGGGCAGGCCCTACGAGGAGAGGCTATGGGACCTGAACCTGTTCAGCCTCCACAAGAGAAGACTGAGAGGGGATCTGGTGGCCATCTATAAACTTGCCAAGGGGGACCAGCAGGCATTGGGAGAGTCCCTGTTCCCCCAAGCACTACCAGGAGTAACAAGAAATAACGGCCATAAATTGACTGAGAGTAGATTAAGGCTAGATATCAGGAGGCGCTACTTCACAGTCAGGGCAGCTAGGATCTAGAACCAACTTCCAAGGGAAGTGGTGCTGGCTCCTACCCTGGGGGTCTTCAAAATGAGGCTAGACAGACACCTAGCCGGGGTTGTTTGACCCCAGCATTCTTTCCCGCCCATGGCAGGGGGTCGGACTTGATGATCTGCTCAGGTCCCTTCCAACCCTACCAACTATGAAACTAGGTACAAAGCACAGCACTAACACAGCCATGCTGCTCCCAATCTGGAAACTAGCATGTGCCAAGCAGACATGGCTTTCTTCAGCACAGCACTGCCTTGAACTGGAAAGTCATACCTGAGGAAGTCCACTACATTTCTTCTTGCCACCCTAGGTTGCACTGGCTGGACCAGCAGTCAGCTCTTATCTGCACTCTTATAGGCTTCCAATATGTTGCCAGGATGACCTCTATCCCTCACTAACAGAATGAGATAAATCCCTTTTTCAGACAGAAGAAACAGTGGACATTCTCCCCTACCAGCTGGCCAAAAGATGTACGGAGACAAGAAGGGGCAGCTCCATCAGGTCAGCTACTACAAGCTCTGCAAGGGCAGGAAGAATGTGCTTAGCATTTGGGCAAGCAGCTGACTTGAGTTCTTCCAAGTCATCAATGTTTCACCAGAAGGAAATGCTGATAATTCACTAGCACATTTTGAAGCAAAAAAAGGGAAAACCTAGCATGGGGTGTCACAATGAGATAAATCAGAATCTAATCAGGGAACGGGGATTAAGCTTTAAACTGACCTACAGTACTGTGCAAGACACTGAAGTTCTGTAGCAAAAGGAAACTGTCTGGAATACTAGTCAGTCCCCCCGTCTAGCCAAACCAAGGAAACTCCTTCTTTCTGCATCAAACAATCTTATTCAGGGTCTTTCCACAAGTGCTTTTAACACTGAACCTGACATAAATGAGAGGCATAAGCAAGCAGAAGGGACAAGAGAACAAATTTAAGAATAAACGCACAAAAATACAAAATAGAAGAAATGAGGAGGAACAAAAAACTATGCAGAGTTTCAAGGCCAGGAGACCCTCTCCATTTCCATTCCTGGATACTGTTACATTTAAGTGAATTCTGTTGTGCACCATATTTAATACTGTTGTTATTAAGGAAAATAACATAAAGAGAAAGAATTATGGTATTTACTTACATATAAAACAAGGTTTCCCCCTCAGTCAGCATGGCCCCTTGTCTTACATTGCATAGGAAGTGGAGGGGGAAGCCAGCAGCTGCAGGAATCAGATCCACATCAGCCTCCTGCCCACCCTCCACCCCCATTTCCCCTAGGCAGCTTGTGTCCCACTGCACACCAATTTCCTCCCCCTTATTGTCAGGCTTTGCTTCAGCAGCACCAACACTGCAGGGCCAGGCAAGGGCTGAGCTTCCACATGCTGTGCTCCAAAAGCCGTATTTGACAACTGGGGGGAGGGCAGAGACTGGGGGAAGGAGGGAGGGAAAAGGCAGAGACTGGGGGAGCTGGGGGTGTGGTGGTACAGTTGCCAGGAAGGCTGCAGAGGGAAGAAGTGGGCAGGGCAAAAGACAAGGGGGCCACCTGACCGCCCTCCTCCAGCCACTGCTTCCTCTGCTGTAGCATGGGGGAGGATTCAAGCCAACCCTCCAACCAATACTTAGATTCTATACTTGGAAAATTATAACAAATTTATAAATTTTCCATGTAGAGAATTTAATTATTGGGGGGTCATCTTATATTTAAGAAAATATGATACTTGCTATCCAGAGCCCCAGAATCCTTTAACATGGTCTACAATTGCAGCCTTAGCATCTCTCCTACGTCCCCTACCCCAGGCTGCTTTCTTCTGTCTACCTGCCTAAAACTAGTCAGCACACACACCAGACTGAATTTCAGACCCTGTTTTCTTCATCCTTCACAACTTCTCAGATGCTTATAATACTATTACTTAAGCCCTCCAGTCCAAAAGTTTGTAACAAGTGAAGGAAGGCAAGTATCTCCCTTGGCTCTCCTATGTCTTTGAGGTCATATATCCCTATTCTCCCATTTTAAGAACTGTGTCCTTGGCAGGGAGCGCAGAAAACAGCCAACACCAGCTCTTCCACCCATATAATGCCAGCCATCACCTCTGACCTGTCTCCCTCCACCCAACACACAACCTCAGCCTGGCTCTTCAAGACTGCCCCCAGGATGTCCCAGTGCCAGTTTACATTTGGTATATACAGCTCTTAGCAGGTGTGGGGCAAATCCTGTTCATGCCCATTTTCTTCTGCTGCCATACAAACAGGGGATTAAACCCAGCAATGCTTTAGTCTAAATGATCTCAAATTTACACATGCAAAAAGATCAAAGAAACAGTTAGACTGAAAAGAGCAGAGTATTACTTAGTGCCCACATCATGGTGTGCACTAACCTGTGCTAGGTGGTGAAGAAAGGCAAATACATTTCCTACTTCAATTTAAAACATAGGGGGGAAACAACACACAAAGGTGCAAAAGAAAAGGTTCTGGAATAAATTTTCTTTATAAAACAGCAACAAAGCTCTTCCCTCCCAACCTTGAAAAGGCAGTCTCCCAAGGTGCCACCCGCCCTACCTTCTAACTGGTTCAGAGACATCAGCTTTCATAAGCAACAGGTGCATTGCCTTGAAAAGTGCAATACAGAACCACAGGTAGATTGTACATACAATCAGCTCCATTTCCTGTCCTCAGCCTAAGTTCAGTATTTCTATGTAAAATCCACAATGCTATTAACTGCAACAGTACCCAAAAATACCGACTTGAAACTACTGGTGTTTTGTTCATATTTTATCTTTGCAGAAGTTAACAACTGTTAGGAACAGAACTCATAATCATAAATGGATTCAATTTATAGAATAAAACAGCTACTCTGTGCAAGTCAAAATTCATTAAGTGCTGTGTGTGAATCGCTGCAGTTCTTCAGGGTGACCTGTTCTCATTTCAAAGCTATCAGAATGATCATGTTAAAAAAGTCACATGTAGTTGTTTGCTTTTTAAGGTCTTAAACATTAATTAAACTATTTTTATGACTTTACACTAATATAACAGCGTTTTGAGAAACCTCAACAGTGTTTCAGATTTAAAATATTAGCACACGTTATGTAAACTAAATAGAAAGTGCAGACAAACAAACTTCAGTTTTCAATGAAGTAATCAATATATGAAATGAGGGAGAAAGGGAGGGGGGAAAGAAAGAGCAAACCAGACTCCAGATTTAAAGCTTTTCACAATTAATATTCTAGGGTGTTATTTGTGAGACTTGTTCAAGTGCAGTTTCCAACCTGGAACATTCCCTTTGACAAACAGTTTGCAAGATGTTTTTCAAGCTTTTTAAGTCATTTTCAGTGGATGAAGATACAGCACATCTACAAACTAACAGCTATCCATATTGCAAGATACGATCAATGTATGATGAACTGTCAGAAGTGCTGTAAGGTTAAGCAGCAAGAACTGTTTTGCTAGCAAAGTTAACATTTTACAAGATCTCAATATTCGGGCTTGACAGAATATGACAGCAGTAGCCTATTTATAACAAAAACCAATATACTGTGAAATGTTCCTATCTGATCATTTTCATGTTGTTTCATTGCCAGCAGCTGTTGATGAAGCAGTCTTTATACCTTTAAAAATATATGGAGGATACAGAATGTTTGCTATTGTGGGGAAAAGGCGTTTCCACGAATCCCTAGGGATATGAAATGAGTTGTAACATCCTACCTCTCGATCCTCATGCTACACTTTGTCAAAGACAGCACTGCCATGCAAAGCAGTAACTGGAAGGGGAGGGAGGAATATTGATTTTTACGTTGTTTTCTGCAACATGCAAGGAAAGGGATTTCATTAGTTTCGCAGACATTTCTGGAGATGTTCAAATTCAAAAAAGAAAAAAAAAGTTACACGCAGGATTGAAGCCGTTAAACCATAGCACGCTACTCACTCCAGGAGAGTAATTTTTTCTTAATACCCCCCTTCCCCCCCAAAAAAGCCTGCTCTTGAATAAATCACTAGCTGGGTAGAAAATGCAATCCCAAGCATGCTCCTGTTTGCGTGTTAGTCATTATCATACATCGAAAACGGAATGAAAAAGACACCAAGCTCATAACAGTATCAGACAGATCTTAAGACCGAATTTCACAACTTCAAACTATTTCAATGCAAACGTTTCTTTCACGAGGTGCAAATTCACATGCCGACCTCATTGAAGAGCATGAGACCTATGAAACCTTCGCCCGCACTTTTCCGATCTCATCGGCTTGCACATCGACGTAATCCACCGTGTGCATTCAGTGCCTTTAATGACACCCGGGGCCTAACGAAGCATATGGATTATGAGCCGAAGCGGTACACGCTGTTCTTCCCTGTGTATCCCAGTCTACTCCCAGTATGCAGAGCTCACCCGGCGAGCGTGGGGGACCCCGACCAGTTGCAAGGCTCTTTGGGCAGATCCGTGTTTAATAACAGAGATCCTGAGTCCAGAGTTGGGAAAACTCTCTGGGGCGCGGACACCCTTTGGCGGACGATCCCCGCAGCGCCCGACTCGAGGCCGCCACAGAGACCCGCAGGGCGGCGCGTCGCCCGTCTCCCCGCGCTTGGCCGCGAGCGCATCCCCGCTTCCCACGCGACCTGGCGGGGATACACGCGGGTCGGGGTTGGGCGGGGCCGGGCGGTGCGGGGCGCTCGGGTTTCCCGGCCCGGCGCTGAGGGGACTGGGACAGGGACGACGAGGTGTGGCTCTCTCCCACCCCCGCCGCAACTTTCCGCTTTCTTTACCTGACGGGATCTTCTCCCGCGGTGGGAGCTGCGCCGCCGCCGCTACCGTGCGTGAGTGCGTGTGAGGCGGTGAGTGTGAGGGCGGGAGTGAGTGTGTGAG